AGGCGTCCCTAAAAAAGTTTTCTGCTAAAGGTAAAAAATAATAATAATTTGTATATCATGTGTAGAAAATTTCTATTATACGTTCATTTGGCCAACAACATATTTTAATTATTTATGTCCTCAAACGATTTTATTATATTGATGGTAAATTTTGGTTACGACAAATCAAAAAACATTCACATTTTCATTAAAATATATTATTGCACTGCACTGCTAGGCAATTTATCAATAACTGAAATTTATGGCCAGTCGCCCAGTGCGGCTGTGTGTGTACGCCGTTTGTACGCGCGCGCATTCTTCAACTGGGTGTATACATTTTTACCACCTCCAGTTTGCATACCTAGATTTCTGAAATTGAAGAACATTCGTTTGATAAGATTGTTAGAAAAGAAATGTTATGAATTTATGTGAATTAGTTTAATACCTTTAAACGAGAGTAAAGAACAATTGCAAATTAAAAATATGATGTTATTTTATAGAGACCCATCTCCGGTAGCTTTTGGCCTTAATAATCATCATCATCACAGTCACGACCAGTCCACGCGAAACCTAAGGATCAGTACAGTTTGCCACCGCCTGTACATTGTCTTACACGCAGTGCTGCTACATATAAATGGCGTAACCGACAGCATCGGGCAAACATCCAGTCGCATGGCGCCAGCGTCTCCGTTCGACCGACTATCGTGGTTGCTACGGCCGTTTTCCTCATTCTTGTTTTATAATTGAATCGTAAAACAGAGAGAAACCGTACAATTAGCTTAATTATCCACGCTGGATTCCGACATCTGTATAAGAATAACAATTTCTAAACGTTTCCTTGAAAAAACTTTTTTCTGCGCGGATAAATCCACGAATACCTCGAGTTTTTTTTTCTCATATTTAGCCAATAATAGACGCGAGAAAACGCACAAACAACGTACAAAATGAGAAATTCAACTCCTTTTGCAATCAATCCACTCATGCCCATTGCGGGTACAAGTTCATGCTTCCGTTCGTTTTGATTTATTAAAGTTCTTTTTTTATTCCAGGCGAACATGTTCACGAACAATGTTAGCAATGTTTAAATGTTTACTAACATTCACAATAACGTTTGTACCATAGTAACACTGTTCGCTAACGAAATTCAGAATGCTCCACGTCCACAATGACGAGAACTAAGCGAAGTAACTGTTCGTTAACAGTGTGCGCAAAGAATGTTTGCAAACTTTGAATTTCTACTAACATTTGTAACACTTGTTTATTTTTAATGAAAACTATGGTGGCTGCTTTAAATCAAACCTCAGCTGTTAGCACGGAATGCGCCAGCCAATCGTTTATTTGCCCTTGAGATAATGTAATTTTTGAGTATATAATGTAGCCCGGAACGCCGAAACTAAGAGAGGTGGTTCTTTGTGATAGTGATGCCTGGCCAGCGCCCGAATAAGGTTGATTATACAATATACAATATTTTTAAACGTAATATTTTATACGGCATTTTTGCAACAACAATTAAAGTTTATATTGCATTATACAAGTGAAACTCTTGATTTGTGGATACCTACACAAAAAATGTTAATAAATTATATTACTTACTTATTTGTTTGAGAAATAAATAAGTGGGGGGTGAAAACTCTCATTTGAAATTCATTTCAAATAATCAAAGAAACGCTCAACCATGACATGATATGTCACATGTAAGAATAATGTATGTCGTCTTGCAACAGGGAGGCAACTCATGTATACTTTACACCGTCGTTAATTCTTTAGTCGATAAAATATTCTTATATACCTGTATGTACGTATTCTATAATTTGTTTTTTTTTGACAAATTTAACACTGCTGCGACAGCATACAAAATGAGATCATCATTATATAACATCTTGATAAGTTTTTCAGAAGTGTTCAATAAACATTAGACTTTTTAAAATGCATACCAGCCTACTTGAGCAAGAGTATTCTGAAAAGACAGAAATTATAAATGTTATTTTTACCTTAAAATTAATATTCTTGTTGAAGTCTAAATTTTTACTTTGATTACATTAATCCTGCATCAAGTTTAAGGTGTGTGGCAGTTACAATTTCACATGCTAAAGTTTATCCCAGCCCAGAACAGGAGTTACGTCATGGTGTCGTTATTAGTTTTCTCATTTGAATAAGTTACCATGGACTTATTTTGGTATATTGGTAATATGACTAAGTATTCATTTCAATCTAAAACATCCGAAACGTTGTTCGCGAACAATTTTCGCTAACTTCTGGATCAAAACTTGAGAATATACAGGGAAGTTTATGAATTTTTACTAAACATTTTTTTGGCCGTAGCTTCGAAATTGGATTTGTAGGAATTAATTTTTATTTGGTACCATGCGATATTGAAGAAATCTTGATGTAAGAATACCAAAATCCAGAGAATTTACATTCCTACGTGAACCAATCAGAAAAGATCACCTCGTATACCTTTTTCACTATTCTATATGTATAGCATACCGAAAGTATACGAATCAGTGAGCAAAATGAGAGTATATCAACCCTTTGATGGCATGTGAAATAGAAAATTCATAAATCACTTCTTATCCGCAAGTTTTGAACTAAGATGATTATTTCCTTTTCACTTGATTTACTCTGAAATGTGAGTGAGACAACCTACAGAGTATACGTCATATCTTAAACGTGATTCTTACTCAATGCCTACAAAGCATTGGTTTGTATGCGCTGGCAGAGAGTGACCTACAAATTTCTAAGTTAATATGAATTTTAGGTGTGATTTATAATTTGTAGGTTATATCTCACCCACACTGAAAACATGTCGGTAGATAGACACGCAAATAGCTTAACCGTTTGTCGGTCGTTTTACCGAAGAAGTAATGGATTTGAAATCGGTCTATGGTTAGTGATTCTGCTCACGAATGATCTTAACTAAATATTTGGAGTATACTCAATGCTGGATGGGGTATGTAGCCAGCAGAGTAGTTGTTTACCACAATATGACCATTTAAATATAACTTCTGTATTCAATTTTTTTTTCGTAAAATAAGACAGGAGGGTTGCGACAATCATTATTAGTTCCAAGTACAAATTCAGTAAAAACGAAACAAATTTTTTTTGGGAAAAATCCTCGAACAGGTCGATTTTTAATTTAAAAAATACATATTTTAACATAAAAGGCGATTTTCAACCGTCATTTGTTTTCGAGTAATTACGTCATCGACATTTTTTTTAAATAGCAACCCCCTATTTTTTTTCTTGATTCTGAAAGATCGTTTCATTGTCGATCGGACAGTATTAAAATGTAGCCATCATACATTGGAAAGTTTTCGAGTAAATGACGATTAAATGTTAGAAAACGTAAATTTTATTCATTAAAAGAATAACAATTCCTATGTCAAGCAAATACAATTCATTACGTTTTCTACCTAAAATAAGTGTTCGAATTGCCACCCACCGACTTCTTGACAATACGCAAGTCTGTGTAGAAATTCTTCTTGCACATTATGCATTATTTCTGGTGTAACTCAGTGTATTTCATCTATAATACAATTTTGGAGTTGTTCTAAATTATGTGGTCTATTAACGTACACTTTGGATTTTAAGTAGCCCCATAAGAAATAGTCCAGGGGTGTAAGATCTGGGGATCTCGCGGGCCATTCTATCGGTCTTCGTCTGGCGATCCACCTCCTAGGAAAACAATTGTCCAGAAAATCTCGAACAGGGCGCGCATAGTGCGGAGGTGCACCGTCTTGCTGAAACCATATGGTGTCATCAGGAATATCAGGGTCATTATCGTTAGGAAAAATTACTGCAAGCACTGGAACAAGATCATTTTGTAAAAAATCTAAATATCTTTCTCTTGTAAGGGTTCCTTCAAAGAAGAAAGGCCCTACTATTCTGTTGTCAATTATTCCAGCCCACACGTTTCATTTCTGTGGATGTTGGGTTTGTGTCTCTGTCATCCAATGAGGATTTTTACCTGAAACTTTGACGGTTCACTGTACCATTGAGACAAAACGTGGCCTCGTCTGAAAAAAGTATTTGCCGGTGTAAATCTCTATTTACTTGACATAAATCCAACATAATTTCACAAAAGTGTAAGCGGCGGTCGGGATTGTCTTCATTGAGTTCCTGCATAAATTGAATTTTGTAGGGATGATATTTTTCCTGCCTCAGGATACGTCGCACTGTGGTCTGACTAATTTCATTGTTCAATGCAACCAATAGTGAAGTATTATTATCAGGATTATCTACCATACTTATCAAAATGTTCTGTTTGTGATCTTCACTAACGCTTGGACGTCCAGGTTTTGGAATATCTATACAACATTGCCAGTTTCTCTAAATTTAGATTCTATCTTACTGACTGTTAATTGGCTGATACGGCAATCTGGATGTTTTTCATTAAATAAATCGCAAACTTCCTGCTGCGTTCTAGTCTTATCCCCGCATCCGATAATAATTAAAATTTCAATTCTTTGTGTGACAGTTAAATGTGTCATAATACTTTAAATTCAACAATAATTTTTATATCGCTTACAATACTTAGAAAGTCGGTAAGACAGTGACACTTTGTAAAAATTTACACCTACGTGATCCATAAAAAACTTCAGGCATTTCGAAAAACTAAATTTGATAACGTTTTTGCTTTATTTTAATTGATTTGTGTTTTCTAACATTCAATCGTCATTTACTCGGAAGCTTTCCCATGTAAGATGGCAACATATTTTAATACTGTCCGATTGACAATGAAACGATCTTTCAGAATCAAGAAAAAAAAATAGGGGGTTGCTATTTTAAAAAAAATTCGATGACGTCATTACTCGAAAACAAAAGACGGTTGAAAATCGCCTTTTATGCTAAAATTTTTTAAATTAAAAATCCGACCTGTTCGAGGATTTTTCCCAAAAAAAATTTGTTTCGTTTTTACTGAATTTATTCCATTCTTTAAGAGCGTACGGTATATTAAAAGTTGGAACTTGGAGAAAAACAAACAAATATTGGTTAAAAAATTACGTTAAGGAACAACTTACTGTTGGCTGGCAAGATCAGTGCAACCGTTATCAGAGGAGGCGCTGAGCTTCCTCTTGTTCCTACTCCACGCCTGCCACTGCTTCTTGAGCCTCCTCTCGGAGTTCTTGGCGTTGAGGTGTTTCTTGACGAATTTCTGCCACTGGGTTAAGCCGTCGGAGTCATCACATTCAGAACAACTACTATTAGAACCTACACTACTTTTCCTACTGTTCATAGTACTGTCGCACCAGGACGATTTTCTACTTTCCGGAGTAGAGGGCGTGGTGAGACTGGACTTCCTCGACTCGAAGCCGGAGGAGGACGATTTCCTTTCCACGAAACTGCTCTTCCTGCTGTCCGTGGGAGAGGAGATCGTTATGTCGACGGCGGAGTGCCTCCGCGCGGGAACGTTGTCGAATGCGATCTGGCTGTTCTGTTGCTTCAGCCAGCGAATGACGTGCTCGTTCTTGTCTTCTTCCAGAGAATCCAAGGGAAAATCGTTCAGGTTTTCGTATATCTTCTCTTCCCTAGGTACGTAGCTCATCTTCCTCGTCCTAGGCTGCACCTCCTCGAAGGTGTGATCGATGTTATTCAGCATCTTCGACCTCGGTTGATTATCGAATTCCGCGGTGCTCGACCTTCGGGATTTGTCGACTTCATCGTCTGGAATCTGTTCTATTGCGCTGACTATGTCGTTGTCGAGGGCGTCCTTGCTGTACTTGCAGTACTTCTTGAGCAGCCTCAGGACGATCTCGTCGTTCTCTTTAGATACCCTATCAGTCTTCTTATTGTTATCAGTCTCTGACTTTAATAAATTATTAATAAATAAATTATCTCTATCTAACGACCGTAGCTCTGGCATGGAGGGCCTCCTGGGCTGCTCCATCACTTTGTCCTCCGGGATCTGACCGAGGCTGACCTTCCTCTCGGCGACCTCCCTTCCCCCGTTCTCAGTCAATTTTATCACATTTTCGCTATCTACACCTAAATTCTTATCCTCTAAGTTCTTCGACTGCTGGAGCATGAGCTGCTTGTGCTTGTCGGTGAGTTCGGTGAAGCCGTTGTCCTGCAACACCAGCTGTTTGTTGGCCACCCTCTGGAGGAACTCTGAGATGGCGGCCCAGTGGGCCTGGGTGAGGACCCCATGCAGCCTGATCGACGATAGCTGCAGGGGAATCCATTTATCGTCCTTATAGCACCAAACGACACCACCACTTACATTAACCATACTTCATGTAACTCATTAAAACTGGTTTGGAAAGGCGGCAAATGTCTTCTTTTCGTTCGCCCTTTGAGCTATAAATAAATTAAGGGATTAATGTAGCGTCAACGAGGATTCGGGATGCCTTGGTTATTTTTACCGCACAAGAAATCTCTAACCGCCGAGTTTCTATTAGAAAAAAACATGAATAATTTGTCAATTGAAATGTTTAATTATTATTATTAATGACTATACCTAGGTATAAATATTTGTATATTGATACAAAAATGCGGGAATACCCATTATTTCAAAATTATGAGAAAATTTATTATATTTGAAACAAGATTGTATAAAACAAATTAATGTACAGGGTGTCCCACTTAATTTTCCCACCCCATTTATCTCGGTTAGTTTTGAAGATATAAAAATTTTGTTGAATAAAAGTTGTAGTGTTTTTATGAAGTTTCTATTTGTAACAACAAAAAAACATTTTCACATTTAAATGTCTATGTGACAGATACAACTTATTATTTTTTTAATGGAATACCTTGTAATTTATCACATTTTTAGATGTAAAATTTTATTCTGAACAAAAGTACATACTTACTGTCGAAATAAATGAAATCAACCCCTGAGTTTGGAAACCGATATTAAAAAAACGTAGGGGCAAAAAAAAATTGAAATTTGGACCATATATAGCCTCACTATTACTCTATTGTGTGCTAAAATTTCAGTTAGTTTCGTTATCCCATTTTTTAATTATTAATGAAAATGTTGAAAAAAACACGGTTTTCTGCCTATAAAATTGATACTTCTTACTTTAACTCGTCGTAATTTTATTATTCAAATTTTACTGACGATGAATCGAACTATTGTCTTTAGTATTGTGAAAATCATTTGTCTCAAAAGCAAAAATATTGCGTTCTTTAAATAAAGAAAAAAAACTGACAGGTAGTAAATAACTATAAACAACAATTCGAAAAAATTTGTTAAAATAATACAGTTATAAATATGATATTCTTAAAAACAGTATTGGAATGGTCAATTACGTTAATTATAACTGTATTATTTTAACAAAATTTTTTCCGATTGCTGTTTACAGTTATTCACTAGGTACCTGTCAGTTTTTTTTTCTTTTTTTAAAGAATTTAATATTTACGGAGGTAGACTCCCTTCTGTTTTGCTTAAAAATAAAAAAAGAGCTTTTCAGATAAATGACCTTCAGGGTATTAAAGACAATAGTTCGACTTATCGTTAGTAAAAATTTGGAATTTTTTTATCAATTAACAAAAAATTACGAGTTAAAGTGAGAGATGTCAATTTTGTAGGAAGAAAACCGTAATTTTTTCAACATTTTCATTGATAACTAAAAAATGGAATAACGAAACTAACTGAAATTTTAGCACACAATAGTGAGGCTATATATGGTCCAAATTTCAAATTTTTTTTGCCCTTACATTTTTTTAATATCGGTTTCCAAACTCAGGGGTCTATTTCATTTATTTCGATAGTAGGTATGTAAGATATGTGGCACTTATTTTTGTCAGTTTGTTGAACATTGTAAAATATTGGAAAACTGCTATCGATGGAGCCAGTGGTCCCAAAAATGTTTTTCTCGTATTATTGTGGTAAATAGGCACTAAAAAATATTTTATTTGCAAAAAAACATTTCAGCCACGAGTTTTTGGAACTCGATCTAATTATTTTTCAAATATCCTCTCTAAGTATAAACACCTTGTATACGAAATGAGAAAGTTTGACAGATCGGTATCTAGAATGTATTTTATCAAAACGTCTGCAATGAATTGCGAATAAAACTGATACTATAAGTTATGTGAAGTTGGGGCACGTGTTGGGTTGACACCTGACGGCCTAATTATCTTCAATGTTGTCTACCAATTATCTAAGTGAAATAAGGCTCATCTAAAGGTTGCAAAAAACTAAAAATTACTGTTTTCTTAATGTTATATATATTATCTATATAAAATTTTAAAAAAAAATACAAAAATATATACAGTATGCTTATTTTTAATATAATTTATTACGACGATCTTATTCCCTTTTTTAGAAAAATTTCAATTAGCTCTCGTATTTTTACTTTCTTATAATGATATTAAGTTAATTCAAATAAATTTAATTTTTTTCCTAAAAAATCTTATCAAATGAAGTCANTTATTGAAAATGTTGAAAAAATCACGGTTTTCTGCCTATAAAATTGATACCTCTTACTTTAACTCGTCGTAATTTTATTATTAAAAATCCAAATTTTACTGACGATAAATCGAACTATTGTCTTTAGTATTGTGAAAATCATTTGTCTCAAAAGCAAAAATATTGCGTTCTTTAAATAAAGAAAAAAAACTGACAGGTAAGTAAATAACTATAAACAACAATTCGAAAAAATTTGTTAAAATAATACAGTTATAAATATGATATTCTTAAAAACTGCATTGGAATGGTCAATTACGTTAATTATAACTGTATTATTTTAACAAAATTTTTTCCGATTGCTGTTTACAGTTATTCACTAGGTTACCTGTCAGTTTTTTTTTCTTTTTTTAAAGAATTTAATATTTACGGAGGTAGACTCCCTTCTGTTTTGCTTAAAAATAAAAAAAAGAGCTTTTGAGACAAATGACCTTCAGAGTATTAAAGACAATAGTTCGACTTATCGTTAGCAAAAATTTGGAATTTTTTATCAACTAACAAAAAATTACGAGTTAAAGTGAGAGATGTCAATTTTGTAGGAAGAAAACCGTAATTTTTTCAACATTTTCATTAATAACTAAAAAATGGAATAACGAAACTAACTGAAATTTTAGCACACAATAGTGAGGCTATATATGGTCCAAATTTCAAATTTTTTTTGCCCTTACATTTTTTTAATATCGGTTTCCAAACTCAGGGGTCTATTTCATTTATTTCGATAGTAGGTATGTAAGATATGTGNCACCGTTTTGGCTGTACCCTATAAAACTATCGAAAATCAACCACCCTGTACATTGTAAAATATTGGAAAACTGCTATCGATGGAGTCAGTGGTCCCAAAAATGTTTTTCTCGTATTATTGTGGTAAATAGGCACTAAAAAAATATTTTATTTGCAAAAAAACATTTCAGCCACGAGTTTTTGGAACTCGATCTAATTATTTTTCAAATATCCTCTCTAAGTATAAACACCTTGTATACGAAATGAGAAAGTTTGACAGATCGGTATCTAGAATGTATTTTATCAAAACGTCTGCAATGAATTGCGAATAAAACTGATACTATAAGTTATGTGAAGTTGGGGCACGTGTTGGGTTGACACCTGACGGCCTAATTATCTTCAATGTTGTCTACCAATTATCTAAGTGAAATAAGGCTCATCTAAAGGTTGTAAAAAACTAAATAATACTGTTTTCTTAATATTCTATATATTATCTATATAAAATTTAAAAAAATACAAAAATATATACAGTATGCTTATTTTTAATATAATTTATTACGACGATCTTATTCCCTTTTTTAGAAAATTTTGTATTAGCTCTCGTATTTTTACTTTCTTATATGATATTAAGCTAATTCAAATAAATTCAATTTTTTTCCTAAAAAATCTTATCAAATGAAGTCAAGCAATGTTCTTCGATACCATAAAGCTTAGTATGCAACAGACATCCCCCCCCCAGACAAGATTCTTAATTTCATTAGACAAAAACTTGTTCGGAAAAAAAATTGAGTTTATTTGAATTGGTTTAATACCTTTATAAGAATATAAAATGACTTTATTACCCTCCCCAACTTTATTCTAAAAATCTAGAAGCTTCAAAATATGAAGTCAAAAAAAAAACTAAAACCAAAACAAATCAGGTTGATTTCGAAACATCCTTTATATATTTGGCTCGAGTAATTGTATCAGAACTATTACAGTTAAAATGTACGAGATATAAATATAAATTCGATAATGCGAATAATAGGACGGAGATTGTGATATTAATATAGATCGCATGCTTTTTACACCTCGACGTAAATGGAGACCTATTTACATAGACGCTATGTAAACAATGCATTCTAGGAAAAACTTAAAAGTGTAGTGGCTTTTTTGGATTTAATTTCTAGGTTAAATTTGCAAATCTACAATGTCAGTGACACTGTTCTCTTTCTGCTTTCTTTTAAATGTCAATAACTGATTTTAAAACTCACTGGGGCATGTAATACTTGTAATATTTACAGTGGACCGATGTTGTACGTACTTTGCAATAGAAAAGGTACAAAAGATTGAGGAAGGTTTTGTTAGTAATAAAACTACTAATTTATTCCAAAAAATTATTTAGTAGTAAAATCAGTGGCCACTATCAGACTACTAAATTTGATGACATCAAAAAAAGTTAATTATTTTTTTCGAATAATGTTTTGTTTTATATTCAACTTTCATTTAATCAGAGAACATATGTCTACCAACAAGAAGAGTTTGGTTAGTTTGATAGTTTTGTGAAACTAGTTATGATGGTTCACGTCTTGAAATTGTTACATTGCAAGCATTGAAAATTGTCATGGCATATCAATTCTCTCAGATTTTGTTAAAGTTTTCGAAACTCTACTATAGAATATTATATATTGCTCTATAACAAAAAAATACTTCACCTTGATTAGCGAGGTTTTCTAGAGGAGCCTTCAATTCAACAAAAATAAACAATTTATAACAATTTCTCGAAAGCTTTTGGCAGTGTAGGCCACAACATCTTAAGTAAAAAATTAAATAACTTTGGCTTTAATTATCTATACTGCAGTATTGTCAACTATAGACGTGAAGTACGAGTAAGATATAATAATAATAATAACAAAGTATTACATTTAACGATGTATTGCTAACTTTTTCATTTCTATTATCTGGCTAGAATACAATATGTTCAGTATAATGGTATATGGTCATAATTTCACCTGGAGTACCCCAAGGATCACATTTGGGACTACTATTATTGACTATGTTTATGAATGATCTTTGATGCATTCTCACGTGGCATAAAATATTTTATGCAAACGATCTCAAACTATTTACTGAAATAACTAACGACTATCAAATACTACAAAGTGATTTGAACGAACTTTTTAACTGG